ACTTGGATGGAGCTGGAAAAGATCATGCTTAGTGAGATAAGCCAGAAAGAGAAAGAAAAATACCGGATGGTTTCACTCATAGCGGGAGTATAATGAACCAGGTGAGAAAATAACAAGAATAATGAACAGCAATATACCAGAGACATTTTGCGGGGGTGGAGTGGGGAATGGGATCAAAAACGGCGGGGTGGGGAGGGAAATGCACGGGACTATGGTGATAGCACACGGTTGACTTGGTGATGGGAAACCCGCGGGGATTACAATTGAGATGGAAAAATAAAATGTACAAAATGATGTAAAAATAAACTTTTGTAAAATAAAAAAAAAAGTTAAAATAACTGATGTTACAAGAATTGCCAAAAAAAAAAAAAACTGAATATGGTGATTCTGCAGAACAAGTGAGTTAACACAGAGAAGTGCTTGGTGCAGCAAGCGTATGGGAAGCCTGCCAAAGTTAGCTGTTTTTAACTTATCACTAACTGTCCCCTCTAGTTTTCTAGTACTTCCTCTGCTGCAACTTTTTCTCCAGCTGAGCCCAGCCAGGCACATTTCTCTAACACACACCATTTTGTGCCTCCCTAGAGAAGCATGCTAGGCTTTCCCTTGCTCACCCCCTTTGCTGAGATAACTCCACTTTCCTTCAGGTCCTGGCACGATCTTCTCTCTGACTGGCAGATTCTGCCCCCTTCTCCCAGAGGGCCCTGCGCCTCCGTTGGCCACACCGCTTACAGAGCTATGATGAAACCACCCCCTGCTCCAGCCACTGCTGTCTTCCTCATCTTTGGTGTTGCCTTACCTGTGCAAACCCTTATGTGGTTTTTTTGTCTGGATGAGTTCAGATAACCAAGTATATAAAAATAGCTTGTACAGGTGGGTTAAATTGACGTTAAAGAAGAATCTAAGGAGATTTACTGTGAGTTAAGCGTCGTTGTTTCATTACTTGGGATTTCTCTTTTCTCTTTTGCCTCTTTAGAAAATTATGACTCACCCAACTAAATATCAGATGATGTAGGCTACAACTCCATTTTAAAACAACCTCGGAACTACCCAAATTCAGTAATTCTTTAAAGCAATATGCAGTTCAAGTGAAAATGAATCCATCTTACTCAAGTCTCTGTTTTGAGTTATAATAACAGGTGGTCAGGAAACAAGTCAGTAGCTATTGTATTTTGTTTTTACTTGTTTTAAACAAAATAGATTTTAGCAATCTAATTAGTTATTCACTATACTGCTGAAATTAATACAAAATAACCATTTCAGAGTTCCAGTTCTTAAAGAGTGGTTGTAAATAAATGCAATAAACAAAAAAATAAAAGATGTGATCATTAATTTATATAGCCCAATTCTAAGCTCATACCTAATATTGCAGGGACAAAGATAAATCCCATACATCTCTTAGCTCTAGTTTATCTATAAAACTTAAATAGAAAATAAAGCTAAGTTATGATGTACAAGTAACAATAAATAACATGACAATATTCTTTAAATAATGATCATGTTCATTAAAGATAAGATATTGTCTTCTCCCTGCCCTCATTAGCAAGTTTACCTTTTGGAAAGCAAGTCATATTCATGTAAGATCATCAGGAGATTTTCTACAATGTTGAGTTCACTTATCTTCTCCCTGCATTCTGGACTGCAAGGTGAAAACTGTTAGTAAGTACTAACAAGCTATGTTAGCATATCTACTTCCTGAATATCCTCATGTCTCAGGAGGAGAAACAAAATGCAGCATCTCCCATGCAGTAGGGTTACATCGAATTCCAGCATTCGGTAAATATCATGTCATAACTTTAAATTTGCTTGCTAACAGTGTGATGATAACACACTGCAAAGGGAATCACATATTGGTCACATAAAGATCAATGATGAGTGCTATTCAGAATGGCTGAAATATGGAGACAACCAATGTGTCTATTTGTTTAATATTTATTTATTTATTTGGGCATACAAGAACTGAGGTGTTACAGGTCAGAGGTAGGGGTGAGAGGATTCACCAGTGATAGAGTGAGGAGCAGAACAGGCATATTGACTGAAATACATTGCTGAGGGGAGCAGCAGGCGGGACAGGAGAGGTCTGCTGAGCCATGTGGGTCATTCCCTGGGCGGGGATCAAACTCATGCTGCAGTGGCTGCAGATAGCTTCATAGTGCTATGCTATAACCTGCTTTGCCCCCAGGGAGGGCCTGTATCTAAATGATCTTCAACAGATGAATGGATAAAGGAATGTGAGAGATTATATACTACACACACGCACACACACACAGGCACACACATATACATATACACAGTGAATATGTATTCACTTATAAAAAAGGAAATCCTGGCACATGAAACAATTTGTATGAACTTGAAGAGCACTGTACAAAGTGAAACAAGACAGAGAATGGTAAATACTGCCAGGAGTCATTTACATGTGGAATCTAAAATAAATAAGCCAATTTTATAGGAACAGAGAGGATGGTGGACGTTTATACTATATTAATGTTATTTCACACTTATTTTTCACAAATTTTAACGAGGTAGGTGACCAAGTGACTAGAACTGTTCTATCCTGCATCTCTCCCACCTAAATCACTGGAGCTACAGAGCTGGAAAGTACATTAAAATAAACTCACCTCTCAGCTAAACTGGCCAGCGCCAGGAGAGTGCCCAACAGAACGTTAGTGTCTCGGGCCCCGAGTAAATTTACTAACGTCTGGAAAATGAAATAAAAGAAAGTTTAGTTCTACAAGTGCTGCAAGCTTCTGGAACAGGACAATGCTTTCCTCTAAAGACCCTAAAGCTTACCCTCCAAGGGAGTTTTGTTAACTTTCATGACACCCAATTCTTTACAGGGCAGCTGTGAATCCCATTCAGTACTTTGGAAACTTGAGAATAGTTCTCTCAGCCTTTCAGTCTCCAGCACAAGAAGCATACGAGGCCACACTCCAAGGCAGTCTTGTTCTCAGATGCCCCTCTATGCCCATGCGGCCAAACACACTACTCTGCCTCTTCTGACCGCTCCCCGAGAAGAAGTGGGGAGACAACGGACATAAATTACAACAAGCCATCACCGAGAGCTCATTCTGAGTCAGGCTTGTGCTGGATGGCTGCTTTCCAAATACTTCACTGAAATTTTCTAAAAATTCCCCAAACTTCTATCACTGACATATCATTTTCACAATTTTTGCCATGTCAACTTAACACCTTAATGCCACTCAAAAATGTCCTTCAAAATCTGAACAACAACATCAGGGGAAATACTACTGCTGACATGAAAGGTGTTGACTTCTGTATCACCTAGAACCATCCCTGAGACAATGGGTTGCATGTGTTGAAATATTTTAGACAAACTTTACTCACTATAAACTGGAAGGTGACTTCCTAGGTTATTGAAATTGGGCTCTAGGCAATACCTTTTAATTGTACTACAAACATGTATTTAGTCTGTTTGGATTAAAACCACATTCACCCATCCTGAAATTGGGTCTCTTTGACCAAATGCTTGTATCCATCATCTTTTTATGAGGTTTAAGCCATATGAAATTGGCCAGCAACCTCAACCTAGCACAACTCCATAGCACACCTCCATGGAATAGAGGTATAAGCATGCGAACACTTTACTTTTTCATTTGTAAACACACATCTAGGATCAGTGTGCTCCAAGCAACATTTAAGTGAGGTTATTTAAACATCTAGCTGGTATTAAGCGGCACAGAAACTAGCTAAAGCAGATGTCTTTCTGTTCTTTCTATATTTATGCCTTAGGCTGATGAAGAATACAAAAAGGTTGGCAGAGATGTATAATTTGAAGGTAGGTTAACAGGCTTATTAATTATAATTGCATGTGGCTTGACCACAGGGCCCTAAACCCCAGTGTGTCACCACTACCAGCTATCATACTGCACAAAGCAGGAACTCCTTCCGGAACCCCTCACCTTGTGGGCTCCACTTGTGGTGACCCATTCTCTTTGGTCTCTGACAGCAGCAAGTTTTTGAAAAATATCTGTAAAGGAAGGAAATAACTTGAAGAGGATTTGCAGCTTAGAGGGGGTAGTGCCCACAGAACCTGAAATCTAAACTATGGGGGGAGGGGGAGCTCAAGCAGAAAAAGAGCAATATTCTAAGTATCTCTCTTTCAGCTGCAAAAACCACCCTGCTTATTCTTGCAAGTCCCGAAAGGTGGCTGTGTCACCAAGACAATGCTCACACGTCATGTTGACCAACTTGTCCACACTATGCTGCTCGTCTCCGTAGCCCAGGTACTCGTTGGCCACAATCTCCATGTACTGCAGGAGGGACAAAAAGCAAAGGAGCCTGTCAGAAGCCCGAGAGACCAAACAAGGCTTGCATTCCTGCAAATGACCTGTAGGTGGCACAATAGACTCGCAACCCAGCGCTCTGGGTCTGTTTCACTCAAGTGCAAAATTTGGTTGGGTTTCTGGATTCTTTGCAAGCCCTGAAGTTGAGGGAGGTACCATGTAAAGATTGTTAAACTCTCCAAAGTTCCAAGTGGTCACTGAACAATTTCTATAAATAAATGAAGCTAAGCTACCAAGCAGAAGCATAGAATACAGTGTATAGAATCTTCAATGCATATTTTTAGAATTTCGATAGCACACTGTTTTCTTGATCTTATGTTTTATATCTAAGTAGCATTCAAGCAAATAGCAGTAATCAGAATAAAATTAAACTAAATAGTCTGATAATTCCTCACTGTGGCTAATTATAAGAAATATGCTCAGAGAAACATATACAAATTCCAGCTAATATAATGGAAGTTAAAGAGAATAAGAAGATCCTTTACAATTTAACTTTGTGAACACTAATCTCATTGAAAGAGGTAAATCTCCCATTTAAAAATTCTTTTAAAAAAATGAGACACATTATATTAGTTCCTGAGAATCAAAATGTACCAAAATAGGCTTAACTTTAAATTGCCACTAGCTCTAATGCGCAATTCAACATTCAGAATTAGTCTGTAGAGCTATCGATTGATTATGAAAATCATTCCTTCAGGACATGACATAGGAGAGGGGGTTACTCCCATTCAGTGCCATGCCAGGAAATTTTGCTTTATTCCATTAATAAGCCCAAAATTATTTGCCTGGTTCAAAACCTGCACTCACCTGTGAGCCTTCCCTCAGCAGTTACCAAAGCCAAAAAATAAATGAATACCCTCTCTCACATTGTCATCGATTTAATACTTCAGTAAGCACGTCGTTCTTTCTTGAAAAAGCTGTGAATATCCCCAAACCAAATACTCTGTCCCACGATTTGGTATATGCTGAGGGCTTGGGCCTCCCAGGCAATGTCCATTTCTTCTCACTACTAACCAAAGACATATGATCTGTTCTAGCACTTTCTCATTTCAACAGGCTGAGGAAAGTTAGTCCAATGAGCCAGAGCAAAATGTCACGGGTACCTCCAAGCTCTTGGAGTTTCTTTCCCGACACTCACTCTTGCCAGCCTGCCTGCTTCTCCGTTTGGCAGGAGGCCAAGATAAGGAAGCCATCTTCCATCACACACACCTACATGATCCTTGCCCAGGGCTCTGGCACCACGCGGCAAAGCAAGACGAGTCACCACCAAAGGAAACTTACCTGAGCGAGGTTTTCAATACCACCCAAGCTATGGAGTATTTCCTAATAAATAAAAACAACAGGAACATACATTAAAAATGAGGGTGAAGGAAGAAACTTATGCTATGTACAATTTCTTTATTAAGTCATGAGACAATGATGATTTTTGAAAGCCCAAATTAAAAGGTAAATATGGAAAGCTATGCTTGCCATTTAGACTACTTTTAAGGTAAACTGAATAAATGTGAAAGTTGGGTAAAGGTTATCAAATTATAAATATACTCAGAGCTGGAGCCTGCTTCTCATTCTTTTCACTTCCTTCTATGTCATCATAAAATGTTAGCCCTGAAAAGAACTGTCAGATACCAATCTTTGTTGACCCTCTCATGGTACAGAAGAACTAAGACCCAAAAAGGTAGAACATTTTGCCTAAGTGGCAGAGGCTGGGTAAGAACCTACGACCACCCAATTCCCGAGGCCTTCCCTAGGGCTCCACCTCCTGCATCAGCCCCCCCTGAAGCTGATCAGAAACGAGGTCGCCCCTACTCACCCCAGACCTCCTATATCTCACTCCGATGTCAACAAGATTCCCAGGAATTCACAAGCACAGTGAAGTTTGAGGAGCAGGGTTATAAAGGATTATCAGGCACTTCCTTACAACATTTAGACAGGCGGCCTGTTCAACCCGCACTTTAAACAAACTTAAGACTCATCATTGCAAAATTCAAGACGTCTTGAAGTCAAAGTTCAAAAGAAGACAATTCGATACACTTCTAAGGCTGCCCTAACATTGCTAATGAAGGGAGAGAGGGGCAGGAGGTTGAGGTCCTAAAAGGGCTGACTGGGCAGCAGATGATGGTAAATGCTTGGTCTAGCCACATGGACACATGGCCCTTGCCTACTTCATGAAAGCTATGTTGATGTCTCTCGCCTCACTTGGCATAAAGTTATCTGAAATATAAACCTGAGCCATCATTCCAAGTCTGGGAAACACAGGGGGAAGAGCACAGAAGTGTGAGTGAGAACAGCCTAATGCCACCAGGCCAGCCGTGTGGACAGGCTGGGCAAAAAGCAGTCTCCTGCCTGGGCCAAGTTTCCTTATTTGCTGTGAATTGAATTTGGAAACACTAAACATAGTCATGTTTAAATTAAGAATGAAAGGACATTTATAACTCAGTTAAAAAAAATAGTTCTGTGACTACCTTCCTAATTTGAATTCTCATCACTGTTATTTACTCTAGAGGAGCTCAAATTAAAGACCAGGAAGAATATTGTGTCACCCCTAGTAATGGTAGAATATTTTATACACCGAAAAAGAAACTGTTAAGCTATTCATGTTCATTCGTCACACGCTTTTTTCATTCCACTTATGTAAAAGGCCTGGTTGAGGCTCTGAAGAGGACCTGACGGTGGGGGGGGTGGGGGCTCCTTAAGTCGAAGACACACAGGATAGGGAGACCAATAGCTCCGACTCAAGAGAGAATGGAGCAAATGTTAGTAGAAAGTGACACATGAAAGATCATAATGTCCCAGAGGAGGGATTTTGCACATTTCAAGCTGTTCATGCTCTCTGTGGCTGAAAACAGCAACCTTTCCTGAAAAAGAAGGAATCTGGGAGTGGTCAGGAAAACAATTTTAATCGGATGCTTGGTGGAGAATAATGTTTAAATAATCACTCGTGGTCATGTCCCTTTTTAAATGCTTACCTTGACCAGAAATGCAGCTGTTAAGCAATCAATATTCACTATATAGAACTAGGAATGATTTTATTCTGTGCCATGGGTGGTATTCAGCATTATTACTATTAAAACAGAGAAAAGGAGTTCCATGACCAACTCCACATTGACTTCAAATAGAGTAGTCAGACTTTTCACTTAAGTGGCAGGGTGCTGTCCTTCTCCTAGAGGGGAAAGGGAGGCAGCTTCATCCAAACATCCTCAGTGAGGCACTCTCCTTTCTATCAAAGTCATTGCCCCGTGGAACACAGCCTGAAAACCACTGCTTGTTTAGTGCAGGAAGGAGAAAGCGGCTGGCCACGCTGAGAACCTGGTCGCTATGTACTCAGGAACCGAACCTTCCCTTATGAAATGCACACCTGCCCCCAGCGCCTGTGGAGACTGCAGCAAGCCCAGAAGGCTGCTTGTGGCCCACGGGTGTCCTAGTATTTCCCTTGATTGCACCAATGGGATCACTCTAGCCCGAGAGCATCAACTGGAGAAAACCAAGACTACCAGGAATGGCCTTGTGTGGGCTGAGCAGTTCTGATTACTGATCTGAAAGACAAACAGACCGCAGGCTTGGGTGACTGCAGCAACTCCTGAGAGCACCCGCGGCCCTCGGGTTGGGCTGCTGGTCCCCGTGGAGGGTCAGATGTGGGTGTTCTCCATCTCTGAGCCCCATAACCTAGCAGAGGTCCCCCAGATAATCTGAATTTCAGTTTGTTCAGTGGAAAGGATGTCCTGAATGAACTCCAGATAGACATTTTTGTGGACTCTACCCCTTACTCCACTCCAGTCACTGAAACTACAACTCCCAGTGAGCCGAGTGTCTCTCTCCCTGGGCCTCGTGCTGGTGGCTGGTCATTTGGCTCTTGACGAGCTTTCAGAGCGCTATTGGGGTTCCAAGTCAGCGAAACTGGTAGGATGCTCTGGTTAACTTGTATCTCTCTCTCTTGTCCTGAGTTGTTCCTCTTCTTTCCCCTTTGTAAATAAACCCATTATTGACCCTTTTTGTGTGTGCCTGCAGTACAAGTGAATCTTAAGCACGCAGGTGAGGACCCACAGACAGGCAGCCCAGTGTGAACACGCCAAATGCAAATAAACATCCTTGCTCTGCTTATATCCTTGGCTGGTGCCTTTTTAAAGAACTGATACAATGATATAATACTGATTAAAAAGTAGGTATTAAAAAGTGGAGCAGACTGCAAAACCAAGACGGAGGCTGTCCCTGGGCTACTAATTTTTACCACCATCAGAAATACCAGTGCCCTTGGGAGCCTTCACCGGAAAACTCACCCCCAAAAGCAGCCCAGTCAATGCAGAACACACTGCGGTGAGTCTGAAGCACTAACATGCGCGTTTCATGCCTTTTTTGTTCAAAAATCCTTGATGGTGGCACACCACTCACTCCTCATCACCACTTCAAGGCCGCCTCTCTGCAATCCCCCTCACTAATCTTTCCAAGTGTGCTTGTAACTACTCTGCTGAAAGGCATGGTGGGTATGTATTTGTTGGGCGGGGGGTGAATAAAAAGGAAAAGAAATATTTCCAAGGTCTCCTGCCTTGGAGTGTGGAGGGAAGATGGTGCCATTCAAAAGTATTAGGAGGTGCAACATGAGAGGAAGGCTCAAAGAATTCATGCAGTAAACTTTTTGGTCTCTGAGCTCCTTTACACACTAAAAAACTACTGAGATCCTTCAAAGCGCTTTTTCATGTGTGGGCTAACACTGTCTCTGTTTGCCACACTGGACATTAAAAGTGAGAACTTTTTGAATAGCAGAGCACACAGCTCCACCACCAGCTTTCAGAGCAACCCCCAGCCTGCGGCCTCCAGAAAACACCACTGCTCTGGTAGAGAGAGCAAGTGGCGATGACCATGGGCATGTTTTCGACAGGTTTGTTCTTGGGGATTACGAGGCCTGGAAGAAGTCCACAGACCACATTTTGACTCTGTCCGGGAGATGACTGTCCAACACATGGCTGGACTGGGGGGGCTTAAGTGAAGGGAAAAGGTTGAGATTAGAGACCGGAGGAATGTTTTGGAAGCAAAGAATAACTAACATCAAAGATACTAGAAGCCAAAAGCTTGGAAGGTAGAGGTTCAAGGTGATAAAGAGAAGGATTTGGGGAAGGTTAACTTTTTCAAAGGCAAGACTAAGAGAAGCAACAAGTAAAAAAAATAGAGAAAAGTAACAACAGACTGCCAAGGAAGCGCCAGAGGATCCTCTCTTGCACCTCAGGCTGGAGGAGGGAAGGC